ATAAAAGGTGTTATGATGAACAGAACTTGAAAGGATACTATAGATACTTAACTAGAGGCTAAGAAATTTAGTTGCTGTTACATTTTCTTTTCCAAATGCGATTTTCCCCCAGTTCACAAAAGTAGGTAAACTGTTTCGCCTTGGTTATTTTTAAAAGAATCATCTAATTATAGTGAATGTACTTTCAGAAAACTGTGATCCTGGCCCTCTATATGTACCCTGAACATATTCTAGAACCTGGATTCTGGTGTGTCCTCTTTATTACTTCAGGGAAATGGCAAGATCTCTTCTGCCTTGCTTTACATATGGAATAAGCTGGAAATGGTTGCAAGAACAAATCCTTTAATATCCACATGCTGCCATTTGAAACACTTTTTGCTAATTAAAAATAAATAGGAAAACCTAATCTTCCAGTGCTTCTTGCCAAACTTTTTGTGACCAACACAAGTCTGAAACCTGGGATGTCTTTTATGAAAAAACAAAACAAAGCAAAACAAGGCACCTCAGCCAAAACACTTGTTTGCAGATTCATTTCTTTAGGCTCATTACCTTTAGTTCAACATTTCATAATTGGCTTGTGTGTGGTGTGCATTGAAATCTCCATGAAACAAGCAGTCCTGAAATGCGGCTTTTGCTGCAGCGCCTGAATATGAGGGGGCAGCACACAATGAGTCGGTGCCTTTCAGACAGACAGCTCAACCTCCTAGATTGGTTGGTAATCAGGTTTGCTGAGAGGTTCTGAATCTGTGGGTGTATTTAGACTGAAAACATATATCATTGCTATCTAGAAAACATGCTTTGCATACAGAAAATCCCAACATGGATCCCCGTGATGATCTCAGCGTAACAAAGCTTTATTTACAATAATGTTATACTGTTGCTCTGTTACTAAGAACCACTAAAGCATTAACAGATGGATTAGAGAGAGAGATGGCTGAGATATATCTGTAAATTCCAATCTACTAATTAAAGGCTGAAATAGAGACCAAAAATTCCTAGCTGTGCACGTGTATGTATGTGAGTAGAATCCTACTGGTGTCTGTATGAGGTTTGAGTAACCTGTTATGGCTAATTCTGGCTAATTAATGAGGTGTTGGAACATGTCTTAGTTGTGCAACTAGGTGCGCTGACAGTATGTACATATTTTCTTTATAAAACTATTTGCAAGGAACTGCTTTAAGTTCACTGGACCAAACCATGAAGAAAAGGCATGTGACCAAAGATGGCCCTCGGATAAAAATACACTGCTTTGGATGAGGAGCACTTTGTCCTTCTGAAGCATCTTTGTAAGGCCATGCAGGAGGTTTAGGAGACCTGAGACACATGTGATTTTGAGGGGGCCTAGAAGGGACCAAACATGTATGTACAAAATTGTACCAAATACAAATGACATCAAACTGGAAACTTTAAAAAAAGCAAATTGCAGGGTTTGAGTTAGCACACAAACCTCCTGTGGAACCTTAAAAATAAAATTTTAATAATTGGTTTTTGCCATCCTGGCTCTCTGCAAACAGTGCTTTTAAAAACCGTGAACACAGCAATGCACACAGATCCTCCTTTAGTTCAGCTTAGCTCTCTTCAGTGCCCTCCCATAGACTCAGCGTTTTCCCTCGGCTTGGCATCCTGAGTGCTTAAAGCGGTTTCAAACATTGAACCCAGCCCAGAACCCCATGGTTTTCCTCCCGCTATTTATGAAAACAGGATTTTACAAATACACGTTAGTGTTGCTTTCCAGTGCAAAATCTAAACGGGAATGTGCACATAATGACCATAGATGCATCATGCTCTTTCCAGTGTAAAAATGACATCTACATAATTATCTTTTGAAAACACCAGGTCACTTCAGCAGTGTGCCAGGTATTGTACATGGGATGATACTGAGTATGCACAAAGAACCAGATATGTACAAAAAGCCAGAAAACCTGAAATGTATTTACTCCGGATGGTTAGACTCTCTGAATCATATAGATTGGAGAGGTGGGGGGGGGACTTTGTCAAGGCAACTGAATAGTGCTCTCACCCACCCCACCCCCACCAAGCCACCAAGCAGCGTGGGCGGTAAAGGAATGCACACTATATTTTTCCTGTCTCAGCAGATCTCACCACCTGCTAGAGAGAACAACCGTGTAGCTAAGCCAAATCAAATACCCCCTTCACAGTCGAAGGACTAGATAATCTGGCACTGAAACTGTCAGCCCAATCAAGCCCAACGCTTAAGTCCGCAATCGTTGCTGTCGCCAGCTAGAGGTAGCAAATCAGGACATGACTGGGATTAAAACAAGAAATAAATAAAAACAGCTCAAAGAGTGGAAAGAGCCAATCCCTTTGGTGTGATGAAAACATTTTAAGCAGAATGTGTCCGGATCGCCACAGGGTTCTTGCTCTATAATCACAATCCCTTTCACATCGCCTCTGCAAAAACACAGTTCTCATAGGCAGCCATCTATGTATTTAGAAATATCAGGTGGTACAGTCTTTGGGGGACTGTACAACTTCAGGATCCGAGGCATGGCCTGGCATACATTCAAATGTTTCCCTGTGGCAAGCAGGCAAGCAAGCAGTAAGTAAGTAAGTAAGTAAGTAAGTAAGTAAGCAAGCAAGCAAGCAAGCAAGCAAGCAAGCAAGCAAGCAAGCAAGCAAGCAAGCAAGCAAGCAAGCAAGTAAATATGCAGGTGGAAAAAGCTACCCAATTAAGAAACCTGGTTTCTTCTTCATGTATTTTTACACTTTCATAGGCAGTTTGGAATTGATACAGCTCTGGGAGGGAATTCATTACTTGCATTTTAAAGTACTGTAATTCCAGAATGTCCATTCCATTATCCATTTCCCCTTCCTCACAACTTAGAATCTTAAACACAAATGATGTTTAGAGCATACATTCATTAGGATTTTAAAATTATAATTTTTGTGTTTTGTATGTCAACTGCCCTGTTAGATCTGCATTCTAAAATATATATTTCGTGCACATACCATCATGATATTTCTGTAGTATGGAGTGCAGAAAAGACAAAGTCATCAGCTCAAAGGTTTTCACACTACAATTTTTATGCATAGACTCAGATGGAAAGGTCAAAGGAGTCAGCAATCTATCACAAGAGTTGACCCATTTGAATGAGTGGAACTTATGGAGGAACTGACTCACCAAAATCCCCATTGATTCAAGAGGGCTATATGGCAAATAAGTAAGGAAAATATCCCCTCCCCCGGTATGCTTGTACGCCACAAATTGGGCAGACCCTGCCAGCCTCATCTTACCTAGAAGGTTAGTTATGCCTACTCAACTTCACGGTTTACAGCTTCCATTGCAGCTTCCATTGCGTTAACTAAATCTGTGCTTTACCATTGAAATAGGTGGGCCAATTAAGCTGGATGAAACTAGATACAAAGTAGATTGCAGGAAGTACACCACTGAGGGGACACATCAGGAGTTGGACCCAAGTTGGAAGCACAGCTGAGTCAGAGATCATAGGCTTTTTTTAAAAAGGGCAAACACTTCTTAGCCTGAAGAATCTAAAAAGCTAGCAGTTATTAAAGATGGTTACAAGCTCTGATCATTGTGATATTTTATGACCTTTTATAGCCTTAACAAATTGTATTAATTATTTGGCTATTTACATCCACTGCTAGCAGGGATGAATAATCAGACATGAAAGAGATAATGGCCTTTTAAGATATTTTAAGCCTTTAGATTTACTGTCAAGTGTGTCTGCTGATATAAGTTCATGTCACTTTTCAAACAGGTATTCTTTAAAACACACACACTTATTTCTGCAGAGATGGCAGAGATACAACAAACACCTTTGAAAATAATTCACTAATTGTTACACAAATTCCATAAATAAAATTAATAAAATATAAAACAATGTGTTTGAAAATGAGATGTTATAAGCATTAATGTAAGCTATGTGTCACATTAAACCAGAAGTAGGAGCTTATAGCTTACAAATTTAGTCCTTCTCTTCCCACCAGTCCCAGACAGCATAGCAAGTGATGAGGGATGATGAGACTTGGAGTTCCACATTAACTGGTAGGAGAAACATTACACATCCTTACATTAAAATAACCTGAAAAATTAATGGTCATTGATATTAACTACAGATGAACAAGTTGTATAATGACTTAACAGAATATAGGCTTCCAATATTTTTCTTACAATTCTGCACTAAATTTTGTAGGCTGCTTGCTCTTAACTTCAATTTTTTTGAAATATCTATTTATCTTTGGGTTGTTATTTTTTTTAATTATTTTTCACTTTTGTGCAAATATTCTGATCTATCCATTTTAGCAAAATACAGAATTGGCTCACATAGCCAAGGTGTTAGTATAGGTCGCTATTCTTCAGCATGATGTGCCACTCATCATAGCCACCTACCACAAGCAATCAAGGATATCATGTTGGGGAAGCCCGGCAGAAGAAATTTTAAAAGTGTCAAAAAGTGCCTCTGTATAAAAACAACAGGTGGTCTTGCACATGTCATCAATCATCTGTGGTTAACACGGTAAACATAATTAGCAGCCCTGTAGTCCATCAGAGCGTTTTATGTCTCCAAAGCAAGGAGACTGTACAAGATGCATTGATAGATAAAGCATAACTCGTCTGTGTTATGTCATCCTAGACTGGTCTAGAAGGAATCATATGTAGAGTAGATCCACTGAAATTAATGAGACTTAAGTCATGAGCAACTACAGTCCCATTCATTTCAATCATTTAGTCTGGATCCAATTCAGAACACAAGAGAAAGCCATAACAGTTTCTTTTTGAAAGCTGTATGGACTGAAGAACTTCAAGACTGTGATGAAACAGCAGCCCCAGGAATTCTATATTTGACCTCTGTTGATTGCCTATGTTGTCCCTATTTGAACACGTGGAAAGAAACTGTAGTATCAGTCGTATAAATTAGCAAAACAACCATACAGATGAAACCACCCTTTATAATATATATTCCAGAGCCTGATAAGCAGCACCAAGTCGTTTCTCCACATATGTCTTCTTCCAGGTCCGCTTGGTCATTGCAGAGAAGGGGTTACCATGTGAAGAGCGGGATGTTAGCATGCCACTCATTGAGCACAAAGAGCCCTGGTTTATGCGACTCAATCTTGGAGAAGAGGTACCTGTGATCATCCATGGAGACAACATCATCAGTGACTACAATCAGATAATTGATTACATGGAGAAGAACTTCACAGGAGGTAAGAGCAGAAATTCCAAAAACCATAGTAGGACAATAAGCTTTTTGGGCCACTCAAAAGGTCACAATGATCCTATGAAAGTTTTCCACATCTCGAGGCAAGAAATTAAGAAAGGTGCTCACGTGAGGGTCAGAAAGAAGAAGAAGCGAAAAATGGCTTCATGTTGAAATCACAAGGCTGACACAGTCAGAGTCTTAAGATGAAATGGTGGGGAAGGATGACAGACATTGCAGACATTCAGGTGATGGTCTGCCAGATGCTTTAATGGTACTGTATCAGGTCACACATAGGTCTGTCCTTCAGGCTTCTGGGGAAAATAAAGAACAGTAGCCAAACTTTGTTTTGAAAGAAAGAAAGAAATTTCTGACTATTATTTGAGACTGTTCCCATCCCTATATGAAATACTGAGGTTCTTCTTGAGATTTAAAAAAAACAAAAAAACAACAGAAGTAGACTGAAGGTCTGCAATATGTGCCCAACAGGCCATAGATACTGACACTGGGCATTAGTGTGCCCTTGTCCTAGTGTTTGAACCACTGCCAGTTCCAATGTGAAAAAAATTCAGCCAGATTCTGCTGGGAGATACCGCACATAATGGAGCGCATGCCTTATTTCCAAGCAGAATCACAATCCCAGTGTTCTCCCTGTGCATGGTGTCATCCCCTGGAATTCTGCTGTTTCGTCAGCATTGGAAATGACAGCAGTGTGCATTTCAAGGTTTGCTGGCAAAGGGTTGGGAAGGGCAAGAGAGCCAACGTGCCGCTTTCAGGAAGTTTCTTACCCTCAAACATGGCAACTGGACAGCTAGATATCATTTTGAGTGGTTTACCAGGTACACCATCTGGTACAAAGGTGATCTGATGACACGTGCCAGCAACATAGTACTTTTGATGTACTATTAGATGGCATACTAGGTTAAAAAAAATAAGAAGAAAAGAAGACAAAGTGGGTAGCTTTGCCTACTAATGGGAGAACATACAATACATCAAACAGAAGTGACTGAAAACTGAAGAAATGTCTCCTTATGCTCACCAGGTAAAAATATTAATTGACAGCCAGTGGAGCTGCTGTAGCAGGAGGTTTATGTGCCCCTGTAACCTGGTTGCATCGTTTTGGACCCCCTGAAGTTTAGTTAATTGACTTTAATTTTGGAAAATTGGCTAATCTTACCTGGTGAATGAACCAAATGATAACCCCACACTTGTGCTGGAGGCTGCTGTGTCTTGTCCCTTCCCCGCCCCTACAGCCAAATAGAAACGTTTCAAAGCAGAGACTGTGTTTGTGTATGTGGCAAGCAATCACAGAGAAATTGCCAGCCTTTTGTTCTTAAGAGCAGGGAGTAAAGGATTTCAAACCAAGTTGCAAGGATGCCTGAGAATGCAGTCTCATTTTTTTTACTCTTGTCTATGTATGTATATATTTACACTATCTATGAAGGGACTGAGCTGAGCTTGAGGAATTGGATTCTTTTCCATGAAAGCTTGTAATTCGTATAATTTTATAGTGCTCCAATAGGTATCATCTTTTGTGTAATCTTGGGGACTACGTAGCCTTGTCAGAGTTTTTCATTCCTTGTTCTAGTAACATACCAGAAGCACAAGCAGACAGACATACAAAGCTACTGAAGTTTAACTGATTAATTTATTAATTAAACAAACAAGATCTCGTAATCCTACTTATTAAGATTTTGACCAGAACCTGACTATTTAAAAAGCTGTGTTAGAAAGAGAACACCTGCATTTCACTTCTGGAGTCTAAACATTTATTTCTTCCTGTGATTTTGACACCAAATCCTCTAGCAAATTTGCTATGTTATTTCACAGACTTTCTGGCCTCAAACATCCAGAAGCATAGCCCCTGAAGAAGGCCACAAAATGGCCCAAATGCATTGGGCTCTTTTAGTGGAATACATTTTTCTCTCGAACTTGAAATGTCATCTCTCCTCTCACATTAGATTAACTATGGAAATAGAGTGTGGTTCTATTCACAGCTGCATTATTGTTATACACTGTCAAGTCAGTTATGATTTATGGCAACTAGAGTTGGACATGACTGGACTAAGAATGTCAAGGGGAACCTTTACCTTTTTAACAGGATTCTTGAGATAACCTGAGATATTTAAAGAGTGGTTTCCTCTTGCCTCCTCTGAGTGATTTTCTAAGACCAAGCAGGAATTTGGATTTAGGCCTCCTGAATCCTAACCCAACATTTCTATTCACCAGGCCACAATGGCTCCCTCATAGCTGCTACTAGGTGCTAAATTAAACCCATATACCATCTGCTTGTAAAGGATGAATTTTGAAATAGAAGCCATCTGAGGAAAAGATTGGAGCCCCAATATGCCCATAATGCTCCAATCTGGACCATTTTTACATGTGAGTGTAAAAAAGAATGTGTCCTTTAATCACATATGATTGATTGATTGATTGATTGATTGATTGATTGATTGATTGATTGATTGATTGATTGATTGATTGATTTCATAATATTTTACCCCACCTCTCTCCTTAAAAAGGACCCAAGGCAGCTTATAGCATTAGAAGACAATATTTAAAAGACAAAAACAGTTAAGTTTACAAATATTTTAAAAAATTAAACAAATACCTTCAAATCAGTAAATAAAATCAATACTAAAAGCACACTGAAAAGCAAGAAGGCACAACAATCCATTTAAACAACAAAAATGCACCCCTCAGTCACTAAGGAAAAACCTCTCTGAAAAGAAGGGTCTTCATCTGCTTGCAGAAGAATGGCAAAGATGAAGCCAGCCTGGCTTCCCTTGGGAGGGAGTTCCAGAGTCTGGGAACAGCGACAGAAAAGACCCTCTCCTGTGTCTCCACCAAATATACCTATGAGGATGGTGGGAATGAAAGCATGGTCTCCCGTGATGATCTCAACACTTGAGCAGGCTCATAAAGGGAGACATGGTCCTTGAAATAGCTTGGACCCCAGTTATTTATTTATTTATTGGACTTATATACCGCCCCATAGCATTTAGGGCTTTTTAGGTTAAAACTAGCTCTTTGAATTGTACCTAGAAATGGATTGGCAGCCAATGGAGCTGCTGTAACAGGAGGTTTACATGGCCCCTGTAACCTGGTTACATCGTTTTGGACCCCTGAAGTTTATAAACACTTTCCAAAGGCAGCCCCACATAGAGTGTGCTGTAGTAATCCAGGCAGGACATAACTAAGGTGTGTATCACAGTGGCAAGATCTAACCACTCCGGAAATGAGTGCACTAGTTTTAACTGTGTAAATGCCTCCTGTCCACCTCCAAGACCTGGGCATTGCATTTAATATTGCAAGTAGTCTAGTCCAGAGAAGGACACTTTCCTGCTGCAGTTTCACTCAATCTTGTACTACAGTTCTGGAGAACGTGGTTTTAACCTTCCCTGTTCTGTGCACCATTTAACAGAAGAGTCTTATTCTATGAAATGTGATGATCACAATTTCATTCACTCTCTCTTTTTATTTTGACCCAAGGTCTGGCTTTCACGTGGGTGTTCTACCTGCATCTCTCTGGCCTTCTTTCTCAATGCTTCCTTTCTGTTTCCCAAGCTTTAAAACTGCCAGGCAGAGAGGCTTCAAAAGCATGGGAGGGATATTTCCATGGGGTCTTTGCAACTGATGTCACAGATCCTGTTATCCCTGCCAGTGGATGCTTGAAGAAGGAGCTTAAAATAGATGCCCAAAAAGGAGCAGCTTTGGCAGTTCCATTGCATTCTTATTGGATGAAGCACATCACGTTTCAGTGAGCTCTCTCCCTAGCCCTATTTCTCCTTACTTACTGAATTCAGCAAATATTAGCAGCAGAAGGATATGTTGCCAGCGAGGTATGAGATCTTGGGTTACATGATTATGCTAGTCCGTTCTTTAAAAAGCATACTTAACTAAAAGAAAAAGTGATAAGAGGTGTGGACCAGTGCATATGTGTCATCAAGATCCACCTTCCATTCTCAATGTATATGGCACCTTAGGAAAAATACAATTTTTATGTTTCTCTAAGTAACTAACAGATACTGTACTACTGCTTTGTTTTTTTTAAAAAAAGTTATCACACTGTTAGTTGCAAGCCGAACTAGAGAGGTAAATTGTATATCACTTAGAAATAACAAATAAATTCCCCTCCTTGTTCCCTCCTATTTCCACCTCTTTGGGGAAGTGAGACAAAGCTTTCAATTTTTAATAAATGAATTATGAAGGAGCATAGTGCTGGATTACAAAGGCTTTTTTAAAAAAGAAAAAATACCTACTCATCCTCTTCTGTTTCCCTCTGCATTGGAGAGCAGGAGGAAGCTTTCAGTTTCCTAATAACTAGTTAGATTATGAAGTGACTTAAGCAAAGCACTAGCCAGCCATCTGGTTTGTTTTGATCCTGGCAATCACACATGTTGAGACTGAGTCAAAACAGATCTATTTTACTTGTCCTAAAAAATAACAGTAGGGACCGAAAAATGTGCTGGTAGGCATTAATAAGTGACAGACTGGATTTCAAATGCCTGTATGTCATATAGTTGCCAGAAAAAAAAGGAGCAAACTGGACCATCCCTAAAGCAGAAAAACTGCTGGGCACTTAAAAATAAAAAATATATAACAGCAAAGTTTTCACTTGGCTACAAACCTACATCAGATTCAACTTAACACCATGCAATTATTATTATTACACTGATTGGTGACATTTCATTCCCCAATTTAAAAATAATGAATATTTCTTTTTCTTTTTGTAAACCATGTAAGAAAGGTTACAGTTAGTGAGCTAGTTTTTAGTCAAAGACCTTATGGAATGGGATGGCAGGGTTGACTTGCAGGTCTTTGTGTCAAGGGGTAACAGGATGAGAAACTCAAGAAGATGCAACCTACACCTCAGTGGAAAGTAAATTTGGACACTTTGTCTATAAATACAACAGAATGAGGTAGAATCCTGAGATGGCTGCATTCTGTAAAAAGGATCACTTCAGTCCATGGGCAGATCTGTTCTGTTTTGAAGATTTCCTTTTC